GTTTTAATCCATCACCTTATACTATGACATTTTTAGCCTTTCACATTATTAGATTTATAGCTTTTAACCCCTCATTTTATATTATGAAACTTTTAACCCCTCACCTATTAAAATTGAAGAAAATAACCCTCACTTTATAACATTTTGCTAATTTTGTTAGTTAACTGTTAATTCTATTAGTTGACTGTTAATTGTTAAAAACTTTTTTCAAGTAATAGAGTTAACAGAATTAACTTTATAATATTTCGTTAATTTCATTAATTAACTATGACATTTTTAGCCCCTCACCTTACTAGATTTGTAGTTTTTAACATCTCATTTTATATTATGACATTTTTAGCCCTTCACCTATTAAAATTGAAGAAAATAACCCTCACTTTGTAACATTTTGCTAGTTCTATTAGCTGACTGTTAGTTGACTGTTAGCTGTTAAAAACTTTCTTTTTCAACTAATAGAGTTAACAGAATTAACTTTATAATATTTCGTTAATTTTGTTAATTAACTATTAGTTGACTGTTAACTGATAAAAATCTACTTTCAGCTAACAAAGTTAATAGTCAATATAAAGTGAGGGTTATTTTTTTTTCGATTTTAATAGGTAAGGGGTTAAAACCTACAAATCTAGTAAGGTGAGGGGTTTCAAATGTCATAATATAAAGTAAAAGGCTAAAACTTTCAAAATATAAAGTAAAAGGCTAAAACTTTCAAATTTAATAAAGTGAGAGATTAAAAGTAAGTTTTTGCCGCTGGCGCCTTGGTCTACTAGCAGTTGGCTTATATGCTTCCCTCATTTTTCAGCTACTCCGTACTATAAAGAATTCTCAAAATTATATGCATTTTAATTTTGATTGCATGTTGTGATTGATCGTAATTTCGTACTCTAATTTCATGGACTATTTTTTATGTAAAAAATTCATGTGTTGTTAAGGTGATGCATTCATTATTAATATTTTTTATTGGTTAAAACCCCATTTTGGTCCTTGAACTATTGTACAGACTCCCAATTTGGTCCTTGAACTAAAAAAATCCCTAATTTGGTTCCTATTGTTTACCATGTTGACCTTGATTTGGTCCTTCGGTAAAAAATCCCATTATGTGTGCTGTTAATTCACTATTATGAGATGACATGGCAAAATATTAATACACGTGGCAAAAAAAATAATATAAAAATAATAAAACTTAAAAAATTCTTTCCTTTTTTTTTTTTTTCCCTTCTCTTTTCCTTTCTCTTTACCCTTCCCCCTTAGAACCCATCGAACCTAGCAGCCATCGCTGGGTTCCTTGGAATCGTTGGAACCCTGGTGCGGGGTTCGTTTGAACCCAGGTGCTAGGTTCCTTGGAACCTAGGCGTGGGGTTCATTCAAACCCTAGCGCTGGGTTCGTTCAAACCCTGGCGCTAGGTTCCTTGGAACCCAAGTGCGAGGTTCCTTCGAACCCTGGCGTGGGGTTCCTTCAAACCCTGGCGTTGGGTTCGTTCGAACGTAAACGTTGGGTTCCTCGGAACCCTGGGGCTGCGTTCGCTCGAACCTAGGCGCTGGGTTCCAAGGAACCCAAGCATGGGGTTCGTTTGAAGTTAGGCGCTGGGTTCCAAGGAACCCAAGCGCTGGGTTCGTTGGAACCTAGGTGTGGGGTTCCTTGGAACCCTGGCATTGGGTTCCAAGGAATCCAGGCCTAGGTTCATTCGAACCTAGTGCTAGGTTCGAAAAAAATTGCTGTTTTTTTTTTTTCCCGTGGGTTTTGTTGTTTGATGATAAAAAAGAATTGATCGATGAAGAATAGCATTTCATTTCATTGAATTAATTGTTTGACTCAGAAAAATGATGATAAAAGTTGTCTCGAAGGAGGCAAAGAGAGGGAAAAGAAGGATGAATGAAGAAGATTCGAGAAAGAGGATGCTGGAGGAAGAAGATGAGGGTAAAATTGTCATTTTGGTGGGTTACATGGCATGAATATAAGCTGTTATGTTGCCATGTCATTATTGTGATCTGACGTGGTTAAAATTTTTGCCATGTCATTAACTCACTGTGAGTTAACGGTGGATATTTAACGGAAGGACTAAATCGGGATCAAAATGGTAAACAATAGGAACCAAATCAGGGATTTTTTTAGTTTAGGGACCAAATCAACGGTCCGTACAATAGTTCAAGGATCAAAATGAGATTTTAACCTTTTTTATTTATAAATAGCCATATAAATTGTACTAATATATTTGTATAACTAACGCCACAGTTGAATTTATTTCCAAGTATCATCATCTTGTCATTTTGTAAGTAAAAGTTTAAAATTTAAATATTAAAATTAGCATAAAGTGAAATTAATTTTTTTAAATACATAAGTCGATATAAGAGGTACGCCTTTAAATTATTAAAAGTTAATTAGTTTCAAAATCATGAAAATTAATTCCAAAACATCCTGACCATCCAATTTAAAAAATATGTAACAGTTATATAATTAAAGGATTTATTTAATTACACATTATATTTACATAAAATCTTAAATATTTGTTTTTTCATTTTTAATGGTTGAAATTTATTATAACTTTTTAGATAAAAAATAATTATTTTCAAAAAATATGAATAAATTTCAACTATTAAAAGTAAAAAAAATAAATAATTGAGATTATATATAAATATAATGTATAAAATTTATATATAAGTGGGTCCCTCCTTTTATAACTAATATTATATATTCTAATTCACCTCTATTTAGTATTGGTTTTATATAAGAGAATCAAAATAAAAAAAATCCAAAGGCAACATCCATACTAAAAAAGGGCCTAAATTAATGCCTAACAAATATATAGAAGTTTCAATTCAAATTATGCAAATTCATGAAAGAATGAGTCTCATTTGTTACAGACGAGGTTTACTTAGGGCTGTACAAACTAACATTGTAGCATAAAATTTCAAAGTAACACATACATGCATTATGCATAGACATACGCGTGCACATGCACTAATATATTTCTCCTTTTTCATCAAGTAAGATAGAGACCTATATTAATAGTTAAATGAAAAATACATGTATGATCCGCTAGTTCTCTGAATTACAGAAGAATACATGTCCCGCTTATTATGGTATGAACTTTAAGGGCCTTCTTCTAGCATGGTAGAGTTAAACAATGCATCGAAAGATATTAGAGATGAAATTCCATATCAGCACAACTACACGCAAGCACAAGCGCATGTACATACATATATAATCATATTACTTGTCCCGCTCTTTATGTTAAGATAAAATTCCAAATCAGCACATTTTTTCCTCATGACCCATTCTAAACATATAAAACCAAAATAGGTCCAAAGTCCAAACCCCTGCTCCTCAACATACCAAAAATAAAAATGCCTACTCCAATATATATATATATATAAGAGGGGAAAATGGGGTAAAATACCAAACATAGAAGGATTATATGATAATGATATAATCAAGTATAACCTTAACGGTTAGATTTACTAATAAACAAGTGTAGTCTTGTAAGTCAGATTTAGATTCCTTGAATACACTAAATTAATGTGGGGTGCAATCTTAAAATTATCTAAAATTAATTAGTTTTAAATTGTGTAAAAGTTAATTTGAAAATACCTAATCATAATAAAAAAAATATCTACTTTAATCAAATAAAAAAGTTGTATATTCCAATGCATTATTAAATGAAAGGTGAGTCCCCTAATATTAAAAAATACTTCATGTTTTACAATTCAAATTGCAAATCAAAGAAATCAAATATAAGTGAAAAACTTCTCTAAAAGTTCTTCTTTCCTTTCTCAATTCTAATTCTAATACATGATGCTATTCGCATCTGGTCCCTAATTCTAATTCATGTAGTAATTCACATTTGGCCTCTACCCACAAGGGTATATAGTCTTTCAATATGGCACGAGGGCGGTTACTCCACACTCTCAGAGCGCATAGGGCTTATAAATCTTTTCCTTTGAGAGAATCTCGCGCCACAATTATAACCCTACTCTAACTTTGTTTTTTCTTCTCTTTCATAAACACTCCAAAAATTTTGCTCTCTGAATTCTCTGTTCCTTCGATGGATTATCTAGTCGACAAGCAGGTAAAACTCGAATTCGAACCCGATTTCAATGCTCTCCAACCGCTCAATCTTCCTCCGATCGATATCAGTTCCGGTAGCAGTAGTAGTACCAACAGTAACTCCAGCGGGTTTTCAGTTGTCGATTACTCGTTTTTAGAGAAACGAGATTCGAGAGAGAATGATGGCCCGGATGGAGAATTTCCAAAAAAAAGGAATAGAAAATTGAGGGTTCTGGTGTCGTGTTGCCCAAGGGATTTCTTGCTCCTCTTCCTAAAGAGAATTCACCAATGCATACCGTAATCTATAAAGGGTCTACGCCTGTGACAGTGGCGACGTCGGTTTCGGTGAGATATCCCATTGCCAGAGGAGATAACCATTAAGCAACCCCTGTTGTGAGGGGCTGCAAGCAGTTTTGGAAAGCAGGGGATTATGAAGGAGACAGTACCAAAGATTCTGCCTTGTATTCTGGATCTTCTGGTGATTCTTGATTAAAAATTTTGGCCTTTTTCCTTTTAATTTCAATTTATAATGTTATGGATTGATTTTTCTTATTAGTATTGTTGGTAAAGTTTTGATCTTTTATTCAATCTCATGTAGTTGGCATGGACCATGTTAGGGTTCATCCGAAGTTTCTACATTTTAATGCAACCAGTCATAAGTGGGCTCTTGGAGGTCCATTGTCTTTTTTATCTTTATTTTTATTTTTTGAAGTATTGTTTTATCAAAAAAGTGTGTTGTAGTGTTATGCAATCTGGGATTGCACAACTTTAAAAGGCTATATTGGAGGCAGGCGTGCACTAGATTGTAGAACTTAAAAAGCCCATATTGAGCGTAGTAGGCCCCATCCTGTAGTCTAGATTTCACAATTTAAACCATTGGATGGGGTTGTATGGACTACACAACTTAAAATACTGTGCACTTTGGACTATAAAATAAGGGACTCTGGGTTTATTGAAGAATAAATTGTTTTGCACTTCCTACAATTTTGGACTGCAAAACATGGGTTGGCTCCATGGGCCTCCACTAATACATATTTTGGTTTGTTGAATTTCAGTATGCTGCTTTTACTGATTATATCTCCTTTTTTTGGTTTGTGTCTTCTGTTTTTTCAGCTTTTGCAGAGCTATTAAACAATGCTTTAGACGAGGTGTTGTTTTTCTGATCCAAAAATATGATTTTTTTTTTTTTGTTTTTTGGTTAATTTTCTGATTGAGATTTTCTGTAGGCTTGCAATGGAGCTACTTATGTTCACATTGATATGTTGGAAAATAAGAAAGGTGCTGAGTCCAAGATGTTGCTGGTTGAAGGTATGCATCTTTTTTCTCTATTGTAACGGTATGTTATTCCTTAACAAAGATTATTGTTTAGAATAGAAATTCATTGGAAACTCTACTTTACGAACTACTCTGATATATTTCACTCGATTTTGTTGTTATATGATTTGTTTCTTTGGTGTAGACAATGGTGGTGGAATGTCTCCTGATAAAATGCGGGCTGCATGTCTCTTGGTTACTCTACAAAAAGTAAAATGGCAAATACAATTGGCCAATGTGAGCTGCACTTTTTTACATATGAGAGAAGTTTCTTTTACTGATATAACTCTTTTTTCATTTGCTCTCATATGTTAATTGACTTCAGATAGAAACGGATTCAAGACAAGTACCATGAGATTGGGAGCCGATGTGATTGTGTTTTCAAAATCTTAAGGGATTGATGGAAAAAGGTTGGTTCATTATTATATAAACGAAGAACAATGTTATGTTATGTACTGTAATCTGCAAACTTAAACTGAATCATTTTCATGTGTCTTAGCCCAACAAAGAGTATTGGAATGCTTTCCTACACATTTTTTATGGGGACTGGAAAAGAGGATATTGTGGTTCCAATGGTAAGACCACTTGTTAAGTTTTCCATATGCTCATGTCACACAAATATGATCTGTGATCAATGCTTTAAATATATTTGGGATTAGATTGACTATGAGAAAAGAGAACAAGGTTGGACCAAGTTGGTACGTTCTTCTGAGGATGATTGGAACAGAAATTTAGAAACCATAGTGCAGTGGTCACCATATCTTAGTGATCAAGATTTACTCCATCAAGTAAGTTTTGTTATGTATCCTTCAATAATCAATGTTATCTGTATTTCTAATGGATATTGTACATAAGATCAAATCATGGATGCCTTAATATGATTTCTCTATTATAATGCAGTTCAATTTCATCAAAGATCAAGGTACCCGGATTGTAATATACAATCTTTGGGAGGATGATGAAGGAGAGTTGGAACTAGATTTTGACATAGACAAACATGTGCATCTTCATTATCTTCTCCTTTGCTGGATCAAAAATAGAAACTTTCTCTTAATTTTATTGTGAATTGAAAACTACTTATGTTTTCTGATAACACTCTTTACCATGAATATTTTCATGACAGGACATTCAGATTAGAGGAGTCAATCGAAATCCAAAGAACATAGAAGATGCAAAAAAATATCACAACTGTAGGCACTTCTTTACTTACCGGCAGTCTTTAAGGGTATTTACAAGTGTTGATTTCATGCTTGATATGTTACTGTCTTGATTTTTGTTCTTCATGCTTTTCTTAGTGATGGTTGATTAATTACCTTTTATGTTTCATCATTTCTAGAGTTATGCATCAATTCTCTACCTTCAACTTCCACCTAATTTCAAAATGGTTTTGCGTGGGAAAGAAGTTGAGCATCATAACATCGTGAATGACATGATGGAAGCTAAGCAGATGATATACAAACCTACCTGTGTTAAAAAGAATATACCAAATGATTCAGCTGTGAACGTCTCTCTAGATTTTAACTTGTGATTTATTTCTTTGCTTTTAAACTCTATTTGACATGTTTAGATCTTGTTCAACCTCTGTAACAGATGGTTGCAACTTGCAACTGTTAAGATAGGGTTTGTGAAGGATGCATCACATCATGTTGATGTTCAGGGATTTAATGTTTATCATAAAAATCGACTTATCAAGGTCAATTTTTGTGTTTTAAATAGCATCTCTTCTGTGATTAAATCATGACACGGATGAAGATAGGATCGAAATATGCCCTTAAACCTCTCTAACAAGTAAAATATGTTTGTTCTTGTTGTTGATTGGATAAACTTACATGAAACTTATCTTTTTCAGCCATTTTGGAGGGTCCGGAATGCTGCTGGAAGTAATGGCCGTGGGGTGATAGGTACTGTAGCCGTTCCTTTGTTTATCAGATTGCTAGTTATTCTATTTTTAGCATTTCCTTTCTTTGCATTTTAATGGTGATCTTTTTCTTATCTAAACACACTTGTGCTTCCTTTGAAACAGGTGTTTTGGAGGCTAATTTTCTCGAACCAGCTCATGACAAACAAGGTTTTGAGCGCACTACAGTGCTTTCAAGACTGGAGGCAAGATTGGTTGCAATTCAGAAGGACTACTAGTTTGTGCTACCAATTATATTTATCTGTAGATTCTGGAAGGTAACAAAATTACTGAATCTGCTCTTATTTCTCCTTATCAAGTCTAAAAACTGTCATATTATTGGTTATGCTGGTTTTGGAAAGTGGGAGAAAGATAATGTTCTGAGCACTAAGGGGACGCCTTCTTCATGTCCAACTCAGAACAAGCACGGTTCCACCATTGCAGACTCTAAATCGAAACTTGGAATTAGAGATAAATTGTTTTCTTCATGCCAAAGTTTGAATACTAGTAGAAAATCTTCAACAATTTACAGTGCAAAGGAGAAATGTTACACAACTTCAAATCAAAATGGACATGGCTCCCTTAGTTGGAACTCCAGAAAGGAAGCTGATAAAAATTCTGAATCCTTGCATTCAAAGGTAAACCAAGACAGCTTTTTTCCTCTTCTTGCTTTTCCTCTCATCTTACCAACTAGATGAACATATTTAACCGTCCTATCATACAGGCATATGAACAAACACTACGTGAACATGATGAAAAGCAAATAAGCAGGTTGAAGGAAGAGGACATACGCTGAGGAAGAGGTATTGCTTAATGTTTCTCTTGAATTCTCTCAAATTCCTTTTCATTCATATTATTCTAGTTTTTCCAATTACTTTACCCCATTTTGGTCCTTTGTGTTTGCAGACTGAAGCGTGCAGAAGTGTAATATCCCAAAATTTTGTGATATTTTAGCATTTAAGTAAGGGTTTTTGTGAGAGAAAATATTGTTTTGGGACTTAATAGCCAAAATTTCAAAGTTCAGGGACTTAAAAGAGGAAATTTGGATAAGGATCAGCTTCTTTTCTTTTTCTTTTCTTTCTTTCTTTCTTCCTTAGCCGTGCAATTCTGCTCTTCTTCTCCCCTGCAGCTCCCGAAAGCCCCCAAGCTGACGACAGCCCTCCCTTGAAGAAAAATCGGTAAAAGCTTGGTATTTTTCCATAATTTCTTGTTCAAGAACCCATTTTCGGACCTAGAATCCCTCTAAAGCAAAGGAATTTTTCAGATCTAGCTGCTGTTTCCTCCCCCTCCGTACACTGCTATTGCCGGTGAGAGTGTGAGTTCGGTTTCTAGTAAATTCAGCCATCAATTTCATCTTTTCTCACTTGATTTATGTTGGGTTCACTCTAATCTTGTTGTTTCTTCCAATTTCTAGCAATTCCGTGACTCCCCTGCATTTTCGGTCAGGCCCCCAAACCTGCCAGCTCCAATTTCTGCTGCTGCTGGGAAATTTTGGTATGTTGACAGCTCCTCCAAACTTGAAATTTCATCAATAAATTGCTGGCTGTGTTGTCCAAATTTTACAGAAAAATGGGGATGAATTCCGGGAGCAATTAGAGCATTTTAAGCGTGTTTTGTTGCTTAATTCATGTAGGAATTAGTTTAATTAGGCTGCTGTGATTTTTGGAGACTAAATCCCGTGAATTAGCTAGTGTTTTGGCCAATTTTTGGAAGTTGCAGTGCTGTTCACGGCGTAAGCACTGTTCACCGGCACTGTTCATGCACTGATGGCCAACAATTAAAGGGGATTTAAATGTTTAGTTTGTAATATAAGAACAAATTTGGAGATGTCCGGTCATTTGGAGATTGATAGGAATAGCATCGTGATTAGGGGTAGTCATGGTGATTTTACTTTTGAACCCGTGTGGCACGATAATTAATTTTTGGATATTTTGATTATATTCCTGATTCTTCTGTTAGTTTAGCACTAAGATCGAGTCTTCGGTTTTATGCGAGTGAGGTAAGTAAATTTATGGTAATGACTATACAGTTTTTAAAAGCATATTTTGATTTGTTTTTGAAGTAGTGGCTGGACTAAACTTGTTTTATACAAAAGTAAGTATGACTGATTTGAAGTGAAATTTTTATGTTTTTTATTAAATTGAGCATGCCTACTTGAAATTTAATTGATTGTCCTAATGATTTGAAAGTGATTGGTGAATTATGATTTTTCTGTTAACTTCTGCCTGTTTTGTCTCCGATGTGGTTATGTTATTAATGACCCTGCTAGTGGGGGTTAAACGCTAGCACATGTCGACATGTTATTGATAGAACCGGTTTGTTCAAGTATAGCTTGCCAATGGGAGGTTTATAACACTGGCCATGACCTATAGAGGAAACGTCTATTTCGTTCCCGTACTGTATCCGTTTTTCATGATTGCACTTGTTGGCATGCTATAAGTTTAATTAAGGGCACTCCATATTTTAGTTTTCTCATAGTTTTTCTTTGTCCACCATTTCAGGAAGTGAAACCGAGGACGTGGTTTTCCCGAAAAGTGACGAGTTAGAAGGCTAGCCATTTCGAGATTGATATAGATTTTAGATATAAATTATGACCTTGTAAGTTAGACTGTATTTGGAGATTTTGTGATATCAGAGAAAATTTTAAAATATTATCTTCAGATTTTGTGGTATCAGATTATGATATGACCAAGTTTCGAGTCTTGTGCATTTGTGAGACCTGTCTCACAAGTGTATCGCGTCTGTCACGCCTTGAATTTGAGTTTTAGGGCGTGACAAAAAGACAACCGCAAGTCACTTGAGTTGCAAGTATGTAAACATATAGTTATTTCACCTATTTCTGAATTCTATTTTATGAGTTGGGTTAAGAAATATTCACAATGAATTACACCGCTAACTACTTCCACAATTTTCTTCGGTAAATAAATTAGCTAACGGAGTCTGAAGAAAAGAGGGAAGTCATGGACAAAGAGCAAACTGTTTTGCTCGAAATGCATGATGAAGAAAGGAAACAACGACAAGAATCGGAGGAGAAATTGAGGGCGAGATTAAGGGTTAGAATATTCATCTATAATGCCTCTATTCATGATGTCCTATCTTTTTTCTTCTGTTCCGAATGATTTTTCACTCCCTAACTTATTTCTTCTCTGTTATATAAGAGGCTTCTACCGCCATTGATGAGCTACTTGAGAAGTTGAAGCGAAATTAAATGTCAAGATACTTCTTCCAGAAGGTCTAGAATTGTAGGTTGCATGGTAAATATTTTTCCATTGTAGATTTAGCATCAAACCTGTTTAAGAGAGAAAAATTATATACTGAAACAACAGAAATAGAATCATATTGAATGGAATATAGCAATTCTTTGTCCTTTCATTTTATGATCCTATGATCATTTTCCCTCCCTTTTTGTTCCTTGTTAGTTTTGTTAATCTGTCAACTATGCTAGAGCTAAATTGAAGCAGAAAAATTGCACAATCTAAATTTCAAACTTCATTAGCTGCACACTGCTTGATGAAACATGTAAGGCTATGCAGTTTGTACACCGTTTTTATTCAATTTATTTAAGACACACATTCTACTTTCTATGCCAACATGCTCCACCACATTCAATAAAAAAAAAGGGAAAGTCCTTCATGGTTTTAGGTCTTCAGCGCTGCTAGGAGGGGGAGGAGGAAAGGATGGTATCCAAGTTTTTGGGTCTCCAAGATTGAATTCATGGTGGGGGATGTGACTTGAAAGAGAAGAGGTTGGAGGAAAAGGGAAGGGCAAAGATGGTGGGTTATATGGGTAAGAAAAAGGCCGAGATGGCAAAAGTGAGTGGGGAGGTAAAGAAGGGAAGGGAAATGAGTGGAAAGGCCAGAGGAAACCATGTGGAGGGAAGAAAGGCAGAAAACATTTTGAAGTTTCCAAAGAGTTTGGCAACTTCTCCTTGTGATTCCCACACAAGGTAACATTCCTTTTGGATGGCTTGTAGCTTAGTACATTCAAGCTGTAGATGCAGAGATTTTCCTGTTTGGCCTTCACTAACATCTGATTTATTGAGGTCTTTAAAGCTGGAAGATTGTAGGGTGAAGATGAACTTCCTATTAAACTTGCATGGCAAATTGACTCAATAACCAAACCTTCCACACAATCAACCCCATCAACATTTGGTATTTCCAGCTTATACACTCTATACTTATCTGTGTTTTTATTTATTGAAACGACCATCTGCTCTGAAGTTTTTTGTGAATTTGCTCTCAACTGGCATTTTATGTTCACATCAACCCCTGATCAGGTAAACAACATGCAATTTAATTGCTAATTTGCAAAAGTAAAAGGAACAAAATCAGTCTCCAATTATTTGTTGAAATGACTGAACTAGCTTTTTACTTGACAAGAAGTAACTGTGTCTGGAGAAAGTGTTGCTTGAATAGATATCACAGAAAACAGCACCAACTACTGTTATTCGAGAAATGGGATTTGCCGGTTGAGCGTTGGCTGATAGCAAATGGGTAAATGTGGATGCAAAAAGAAGAGAGAAAAAAATGATTGAAGCCATGGAAGGAAGCTAGGAAACAGGGAGAAGTGTGAAAAGGCGTCTAGTAGGATATCTCTGGTTCAGGACTAAGGACCTATAGGTAAAGAAGACGATTTGTTTGAGTATGCATTCACGAAAGTGCTCATGAATTCATACTTCTTCGTATATATACTTTCTAGCCTCTAGAGTCAATAATACTTCTGAATAGAAGTGTGTTTGGTCAGTTTCAACTTTTGATTTGTAGAAGTAAAAAATGATATTTTTTGAGATGGATTATATATGCACAAAAATCTGTCATGGCTGGACACAAATTTATAATTAACTAGCATTGTCCACCTGTTACCGGAGGTGTTTATAATGCATTGAAAATTTTTTTTTTTGAAAAAAATGAGAAGTATTGTGTTTATATATTATAATAATGCGTATAAAATTTCACTTGTTTTTATCAAATTTTCTTGTAATTAATATAAAATAAGTATTGATTAATTTTTATTAATGTGAAAGCAATTCTTCAATGTTCATAGCCACTTCATTTATTTTTTTTTTTTTCAACTTCCAATAATGTTTAATTTTTAACATGCATTATGCATTTTTAAAGTCAAGTTTATCTATAATTTTATATACTTAATTTTTCATAAGATAATGATACATACATCCTTTAAACCCACACCCTCAACCACACACCATTTGTCCACCTATTAAAATATATTTTCCTCACGTGAATTGACCTATCCTTGGCTTGTTTAGAATAATCTTGCTGAATCCCTAATTTGTTTGTTTTTTTTTTTTTTTTTATGATTGATTGCACAACAAGGTAGTTCTCCCTCATCCCTCGTCCCTTATCCCATCTCACCCGTATATCATGTAACTCGAACTCAAAATCTCTTATTTCCAACAAAAAATATTACCACTTAACTATTTAGGTCGTCAGCTGCTGAATCCCTCATGTTGATATCCCTTCCATATCCAATTCATATATAGGGAGAAATAGGTTCAGGTTTTGAGGATTTTTATATTTGAGTTTTGAGGGGAGGAGCTGAACGCAAAACAAAATAGCAAAAAGGAGATTCTTTGAATTCAAGGGGTGTAGATCTAGGGTGGTTGAGTGATTTTCTTTCATTGGATAACCGCTTCACTGGTAACAAATCCAAAGGTTTGGTCAACCGAAAAACTGGCCTCAATCTCACAAAATCCGACATCAAAATCAATATATTGTTGCACAAGCTCTTCATTCCTACTAACCCTTTGTTCAACTGCATCTTTTCTTTCCTCAATCTCATATTTTCTTCAATAAGATTTGCCGATGGGGCTCCTGCTTGTCCATGCCCTAATGATGAAACCACCTACTCTTCTCTCGAATTTAACGGAGATATAATTGGTTTAGTAATCAATATAGCCGTTATTGTCATTGATCGAGATGCAGTACAAATTTTTTGACGTTGAATTTCACATAAAAGCTGCTTTTTGCCTCTCTAAAAAAACTCATTTGAAAATTCCCAACGATCAGGTACTACCTTCCACCATCCTTCTGGAAAAGTTTGCTTCTCTTACTAGTCGTCTTCCTTGACGTATTCCCTTTGCCATTTGGTGTAGATCGACAGTGGCAAGCAGAGATCAATAGTCACTGGTGTAGATTGGCAATGTGGGCAAAGATCAATAGTCACTGGCGTGGATTAACAGCTGCAGGCAAAAATTGATAGTTGTTGGCGTGGAACTAT